GTTCCCTTATGTTGTGGCGACCCTTTAATACAGTTCCCTCATGTTGTGGCGACCCTTTAATACAGTTCCCTCATGTTGTGGCGACCCTTTAATACAGTTCTCTCATGTTGTTGCGACCCTTAATACAGTTCCCTCATGTTGTGGCGACCCTTTAATGCAGTTCCCTCATGTTGTAGCGACCCCCAACACAATCATTGTCCTATATAACTTCAATAAGTATGTGTTTTCGTACGGTCTTAGGCGTACCATGTGAAAGGGTCGTTCGACACCTAACTCCCAAAAATAAGATTCGCGACCAGCAGGTTGAGAACCGCTCTCCTTGATTATATTCTTTAATACTACATTTGCCATTGATTTGACTGTCATATTTAGGAATGAGTAGACTCACTGGCCCCAACAAGCATGTCTTATAATGTGACTAATTAGACGTTTATTTAAGTCGGATTATTAGGCTGAACAATGGATTATCTGGGCTGGAGGGGAAGAGGAAAGAGGAGGAAGATTTGCATTCATAAATGACAAGGGAAAGAAGTAGCGGTAGAAGGGCAAACTAGACAACATAAATTTCAAAAGCTATAATTGCCCAACAAGAAAACATATCTTTAGTCTCTAATAATATTATATACCCAGTTATTTCCCGTTCTATTGGTGAGAGCACACTGCAACATCATTTGATCCTTTTAGTGATTGATTGATAGCATGGTGTTGGCCAAAAAATAGTTCTGATAAGATTCACTGCAATACCTCTGAGTACTAAAGTGAATCTTATCAGAACTATTTTTTGGTCAACATTATGCTATCAATGCCAAACGTGGACACTTACATCCTCCAATGAACGTAAAATTGTGACAACAGAAATGAAATACCTTAGAAGAGCTGCAGGAGTTTCAAGGAAAGACAGAATACGAAATCATGAAATCAGACGAATGCTAGGAATAAAGCCAGTCTTACAGGTCATCAAAGAACAACAAATGAAGTGGTTTGGACACCTAACACGAATGCCCCGGTACTATCCGCCACAACGAGCCACACTAAAACGTTACAACGGGTATAGAGCGAGTGGAAGACCTCGGAAAACATGGAGTGATGGCATTAAGAACAGCCTTACAGAAATGAACATCAGTCTTAATAGTGCTCTTGACAGAGCTCATCAACGAACATTACATCTCTCCCCGACACTTCGCTGGTGGAAGAGAAGAAGAAGTAATTGATTATGGACTAGGACTGCTTGGTGTCTCAAAGAGTCAACTAGCTGAAATAAAGCGCATACAGAACGCAGCTATGCGGATCGTTATGGGCTGTACCAGAGACACCCCGTGGTTTGTATGCAATACTTCTTTGGTTTGCCGACTGTTGCAGTTAGGCTCAAGGTGCTGCAAGCGAAGTCATATTTCAAAAAAGCTGCAGATACAGATCACCCTTTGCACGAAGCTGCGGACGCAGTTAAGAGTCAGCGGCTGATAAGAGGGAATTCATAAAAGGCTCAGGCAGAAGACACAATCAGACATGTTTGCATCGTTTATAACATTAGAAGAAGGGAGGAAGTGGGCCATAATGCCACGCGGAACAGTCAGATTTGTGTAGAGTCAAAATCACATTGAGCCGAGAGCGGCCAGCAGGTGCCACTGAGGTGGAAATTCAGCAATTAATTCAAGAAAATGCTCGTTCAGTTGACGCGATTATTATACAGACGGTTTAGTGTCAAGAGGCAAAAGAAGTGCTTAGGAGTTCTTAGCAAAAGCTAATGGTGACGTTTAGTGCAAGAGATATACTCGACGCCCAGAGAAAATGCAAGACAGACGTACCATCAGACTGCTATGGCACCATTCGTATTGGAAATCTGCGCTGGCTGCTGAAGATGGGGAAAAAACGCTTATGGAAGTGCTCTGAGTGCTGTGATATCGGTTCTTGAATCAACTCAACTCGGCTCTCTTGATTTTACAGATGACGTGGTTATACAACTTTTTGGACGAATCAAATACTAGCACCTTGACAAATAATTAATTTTCTAAATTTTTTTTTTTTTGCACTGACCGTGCTACAAGCGACAAATTACTTGGTTTAATTGCGTTTCGCTGTCAGCTGTTGCCACGAGAGTTTGTAAACAAATGCATTCTTTTCTCAGATATGACACGCCAGACAGAGATGACAAGTTAATCACGGTGACACCCCGTTAATGGTCTTTGTTGTCTGTTATATAGTGATCACTCATTAACGGCGGTCTATGACACTAGCCTGTAACATACACGTTTTCCCTATATGTATAAAACGTGTAGTTAATATGTATGATTTTGCTTTGAAGGACCAACTCATATTTTTCATAAAACCATGCTGTTTTATCTTGCTTTCCATGTTTGTCAACAACCTCCTGTTATTCGTGTTGCAGTCATTTCTTCGTGCTTCTGTATGAGCTGTAAAGAATCCCACCGCCCCAAGCTGCGATAGCTAGTATATTAACTAATTTACTTGTGAGTCACATTTCACGTGTATCACGTGTACA